ATGAGACCCAATTACTCAGTAGCACGATTCTTTCCTTCGGAATGGTATTTGGTTTTTGGTAAGATTCGCCAAATGATAGATGAATTGGCTATTTAAATTGAGAGTTAGGTTTCATTTTTTTTTTCATGCTGCCATTGTACATATGGAGACAGCAATGAAAAAACAAACAATATTTTGGAAGTAAAGAAAGCAATAAATGTTGTATTTGTCATGAGAATAGAAACAGACATTCATCTGTAAAATGTTTTTCTAGGAAAGATATCAGTTAGCGATATTTGAATAAGCGAGCAAGAATAATATTGAACTCGACCATAAAAGTACCTTTTTATAACATAGTATTCGTTATATTTCCGTTATCTATAGACTTATTTATTTCGGATCACTTCAAACACCTTCAACAATGGCAGTTATATGTATCAGTAAAGAAAAGGTAAAACTATCAGTTTTTGTGTTATACGTAAGCTTTTTTCTAACTCTCATAAAACAGTTACTCAATGGATTTCTAATTAATAATGGATTATCTAGCATTTTCCCCGTTTATAGCTGTTGCTTCAATTTTCTCCTGTTACAGATACTTTCTGTTATATAAAAAATTGTTTTCGTGAATTGCAAATGGCAGCTATCAGAATAAAATGGCTGCTGCTTAAGATGGCGACAGAAAATAATTTGAAAAGATAAAAGAAAAAAAAGACCAGATGACTTTATATCGAGCGTAAGCAGGTTTCGTTTTACTCAAGTTTTATCCGATAAGATCTCGTGCCCACTTGACGTCGTATTTGCATTTTGTACAATGTTTCAAAAGAAGACATTTTTTTCTTGCAGGCTTTGTGAAAATTAATATTTCTCTATCGACTTGTTTCACTGATATTGATTAATGTCAGGATTTGTAGAAGAAACACCCTAGCTGTGAATTAACAAACTACCTTGCTAAAGTCGATCCATGAAATCTCTTAAAATTGTTGTAATTCAAAATTTTCTCTATCAAGATGGTATCACGTTGCCAAACTGTTAGCGGTAACTTTTCGTTGATAGATGTGGTTTCCTTAATGGATAAAAAAAAAGACACATATTCGATTCCTGTTGAAATGCACAACTTTTCTTTGGAAAAACTTTTCGATATTGGCCGATTAATATTCTTAAAAAAATACCCAGAAAAATTCGTGTGCTTCTTTCAAGAAAAATATAAGGCAGACGTGAATTGTATGCTGAATCATTACACTACAATTTTAGCGCTATCTAACTCTTTTATATGATGTAACATTAGTACTTAGATCTTACAAGTATTTCTAAGACTACAGACCTTTCTGGAGCCGAGCCACAAGCTTAAACATGCTCTGTTTACTAGCAGCAGCTAGAGCTTTTCTGGTCTTGTGTCATTGCCATACAAACAAAATTGGACGTGTGACTAATGTAACGAATCGTGGCGCTAGTATGTGAGGGACGTATGGTGAATGTGTTGTTGTCTGAGAATTACTTCTTTTCTTAGAAATTTCTTTCCAATATTAGAATGTCTCTTCCAAGCCACAGCGTCTTGTAAGCCGAAAAATACGGTTATCACATTGGTTATTGGAATTTATTCCGTATACACCAATCTTATACTGTTTTATATATATATATATATATATATATATATATATATATATATATATATATATATATATTATATTTCTCGTATGAGAAACAAAAACAGTGATAGAAACTGAAACACGTGTACACATTTAATTAGTTTACTATATAATAAGAACAAACCATAGATATATATATATATATATATATATATATATATATATATATATATAGTGGTAGCTACATAGATAAATAGATATACAGTGTGCGATGGACAACTTGCCGCCATTTTAAATTTTAATTTCGTGCATGCGCAATGTTTATTGATTACACGGTATAGTTCATTCGGTTGGGCACCGTCTATGTTGAAAAGATCACCATAACGCAATTCCCTTTTTACTTTCCTGTCAACTACGATCATTGATAATCTAATTGCAATGTGAATCATCATTTTTCTGCCTCCCAGGGTGATGTACTTTTATTGTTGTCTGAGTTTCAATCAATCTCAGTAACCCCTTTCATCTTAGTGGATGTATCGCCTTAATTGTGAGGTGAAATGGTTTAGAAAATACATAATTAAAAGGAGACGTATATATGTTTCATATACCACGCCAAAACATTTCATAACGTACGACTCAAAGATCTATTTGAACTATGAGGGAAACTAATAATATTAGAATAATCCGGGACATTTACTTGGAAAAGGCAGCCTTCATCCAGATAGAAAATGAATTGAGCAAAAATAGTAAGGGCTATAAGAAAAGGATGCGCCCACTCATCGGATAGTTAATCTTTACAGCGAGGCGGCCCTAAGTGAACTAGAAGTCCTACCAGAATTTTCTAATGGTATGAAATACTGTAATAACATTAGCTACGAAAAAGACATCATGTTCTATGTCGATGCAGACATCTTGAAGCTTATGAGGATAGCAAAAGAAATATTCCAAAAGCCACACAACTTATACGAAACAAGAAAACATTTTCAAGAACATAGAAAGGTATACTGATTTTCTATATATAGTTTCTACATGGGATTGAACACTGCAAAATTTCTTGAAAGATGAAGGGTAGACATGAAGCATCAGCGATGTGGTTCTATAAAAGGATACTGCGATTACTGTTTACGCCATATATAAGCAATATTCATTTTTTACCGAAAATAGACTCGAAAAGTAAATTCTTGCTTAAGACAGAAAATGAACAGCTGAAATTTCTGGAACATATAATGACAAAACAGCAGAATGTTAGGAAGGTGACAAAGGTTAGTTCGAGCTATATTGGAGAGCCATGATCGGTCACGCCCTGAAACGTTACCGCACTTAGAAGAAGATGTCATAGCTAAAGTAAACATATTTTCTGTAAATCTGAATTTGAAATCCAACTCCATGACCACTAAGCTATTTCTGATAAGGCCGGGATATTAATGAGTTGCTCCGTGTTTATCTTAACGTAAGCCATCGCCATTTTCCATAGATCCCTGTCTGTATCTGTGGAACTCGCACTGATGCATACAGAACGAAAACTTCCAGTTGCTATGTTCCCAGACAATTCATAAAATTAATGCATTCTCTGGCTTTAATCGGGCCCTTTTCTTTCCAAACAATGGATTTAACGTGAAACGACAAAAGAAAGAGAAACACTGGGTTTGATTTAGACAAATTTACTAAAACTAACCCTGCCAAATGACGCCTTGCAGGATTCCCAGCGAATAAAATATTGGCGACAAAGAAGTCGTCACTGAGTGTATATAAAGTTATATATGTATGATTGTGCTTATGCTTGCATAGACCTATCTCTATCTCACTCTCTCTCTCTCTCTCTATATATATATATATATATATATGTGTGTGTGTGTATATTTATAAATATCACTCTCTCTCTACATATATCTATCTATCTATCTATCTATCTATCTATCTATCTATCTATCTATATATATATATATATATATATATATATACAATAATAATAATAATAATAATAATAATCTTATAAATCTAAGTAATTATTCTCGTCCAGAAAAACCTTAGGTGTTTTGGCTTGTAATTGAACAAGCCAAAACCCAAGGAAAAATAAGGAATAAAAGAAAGAAAGAACTAAGAATATGTAATTCAGGCGAAAACAATCATCAAGAATCCAAGTACAGAGTCCAAAGAAAAAAAACTCCAACACAATTAAAGCAAAAGTAAATAAGTAAAGTGCTCAATACACTAAGTACAGCAAAACTAACTACGAATCTAACGAACCAGGCAAACCTACCAAGGGTTCACCTACGCGGATCGTAGTGAATATATATATATATATATATATATATATATATATATATATATATATATATATATATATATATATATAAAATATTTATAATTATATATCTATCTTAAACGTATATGTCATGTTCATCATTGATTAATCATAGCTAAGGATCGAAAGCTCATTGGAAGGATTGAAATAATGTTCAAATAATATATATATATATATATATATATATATATATATATATGTGTGTGTGTGTGTGTGTGTGTGTGTGTGTGTGTGTGTGTGTGGCGTGCCCAAGCATTGTAGTAAAATTCCGACCGTGAAACATGTGTTCCTAGCTATTCATGCTCGAGATCTGACAGAGAGAGGGGAGCTTTTGGTTAGGAAGAGTTATACAATAAACAAGATCAAAAATAATCGTTTATTTTCGTTTTTCATATTCCTATCGATTGAGAACTTCACTTCAAGAATGCAATTCTTTCAAATTAAATTTCATATAAGTTAATAAGGAATTCAGTTTGCTATACGAAGTCAATTTAAACTGATTCTTCTACGGAAAATATGGTAAACATATTTGATGTCGAAAATTAAAAGTTTAAAATTAAATTTGAAATTCTTAATTTGGAGGTTTTTTTCTTTTTTTTAAATTTTAAGGTATCACCAGTAATGTGTATATATGTTTAGATTTCCATAGGGTGATCAGTTTACAAGGTTTTTACATAGCAAACTAGACCCCACTATAAACATCTACACATTTTTATGTATTTTATATTCGTGATCTCAAGTGCTAAAAAAAAAAAACAAAAAAAAAACAAAACAAAAAAAAAAACAACAATAACAACAACAAAAAACAATAAAAGAAAATTCTGGTTACAGCGACTATTCAAGAATCCCAGTTTGGAAAATATCGGCCTGAGGGAACAATTCTATTGGGACATGCCTGAAAACCAACGTGTTGACCTAAGCGTTGTGACTGAAATTAGTTAGTCTGATCTCTCCGAAGCCATCGATGATTTTAATAGTACGATGTCGTAAGTCACCATGACAAAGGATTTGAGCATAGTGACTCCTTTCAAATCGTTGATCACGCCAGATTATGCCTTCTCTCCCAAAAACTATAACTAATGTCCGCCTAGCTTAGTTGCAACCACAAACTGACTCTGTGCGTGTCGAAGAAACACAAATATGCCTGCATATGCTCTTGCAAAAGAAATCACCTAGCCACTCACACAGAGGAACATTCGAACATGAAAAGATCCACCATAAAAGTCGGACCATATGTAATCTACACTTGGGCGACCATGTTTGCTTTCGCTTAATGACTGACTAGGCAGAAGATTCCCCCCCCACCAGTATGTTGAAGATTCTTTCTGCTATAAATTGGATGCTAACCAAAGCTATAGAGCCCCGTCTGTCCTAGGTGGGGAGAGAAGAGGTGAATTCATACATTTTCCCAAGAGTATTTGCGCGTAAGTGACTGCAAGGAACCTCACTGGAATTCGAACTCTGCACTCTGAATTCTCATTCCTACCCGTTATTTAACACAGCATCATTACTAGACCATTTACAACTGAATAATAAATTCGACCCCCACTGGCGACTCGATACGCACGGCCTTGTGCCACATGCAAGTTACGCTTATAAATCTCTATACGTGTGTGGGGCACTTCGAAGTGGTCTAATGGTTAGCAAGAGTGTCTCACTGGATCAATTACGAGTGAGTACTGAGTTCGATCCTCACTAGGTGCTCCAGACTTTCTGCCTTGTGCCGCATCTAAGATACGCTTAGTAAATCGTTGCATATGTGTGAATATGCATCACTGAATGCTTATATATATGCAAGAGTGTGTGTATACTTGCATGTTTAATTGTCCGAGAGAGAGAGAGTGTGTGATTATATGTATGCGCAAACGACAATGTGTGCGATAGACGTAATTTTTCAGTTGAAATGTAATTTTAAATTTTTTTTCTTTCTCCTGTGTTTGTTGTTCATCAAAAGAAAACAAAAAAAAATAAAATAAATAAAGTTCTGTCTATTTTTCTTCATTGTTTTTTTTTTTTCTTCCTTCTTATCCATTCTATTTTTGACTTGTTCAAGATAGATTTTATCATCTTTAGAAACTCTATTTATTGGTTTATTCCAATCGATATTCAATCAATGGCTTTCTTAGAGATATTTTTGTACTGCTGTACTTTCTAATCGATCAATAAATCAACCTCTGGTTGAGAGTTTTTTTTTCCCGATTCTAATGAAATCGTCGTATGAACTGGTCACATGCACCCTGACTTGAATCAGTTTATTCAAAATAAATACTTCAACCATTTTTAATGTTGTCTTCATCGTAATAAGCTCGTTACCTTCTCATAATGTAAATTTATAAGTATTCATAATTTGATGGACATATTAAATATAATCAGTAGAATATTTAATAAAAAAAAATCAAAAAACAAAGTCCCTATTTTCCCTCTTGAGTTTCAGATGATGCCGAGCAGTGCATGCTGAACACGTTGGTTTGGTTTGGTTTGGTTTGGTTTGGTTTGGTTTGGTTTACGGCATATCAAACATAATGGTCTATTTAATGCCGACAAGATTTTTATACTGGTAATATTTTTTTTTTAAGTGTATTGTTGTAATACTTTTTTCAAAAATGTATTGCTAGGTAATAAATTTCTTTTAAAAAATCTATTGCTGGTAATAATATTTTTCAAAAATGTATTGCTGGAAATATTTTTTTTTTAAATGTATTGTTGGTAACTTTAAAAAAAATATATTGTTGGTAGATAAAATTTTTTATTGCTGGTAATATTACTACTAATTGTTTTTTTTTTCTTCAAAAATTTATTGCTGATAATTTTTCCCAAAAAATCATTCTCAGGTAATATTTTTTTCCTTCAAAAATTTATTACTAATAATGATCTTTTACAAAAATTAATTGCTGGTATTACAACATATTTTTTACACTTTGATAATGATTTGACCCAAGTTTAGGGGTTAACTATCTGCCCGTATCTGAAAACTAACAGATGCCGCCACCACGGGTCAGGGTCAACCTAGGAATACCAGCAATTAAGAGATGGTCCCACGCTCATCAAAATCTAAACACAGGCCTTGTCGAATGTAGTTTATCGTCTTATGCAGGATGCGATTGTAGTTTATGTCTTCACCCTGGACACGCATGCAGTTTATCATCTCACCCAGGAGGCGAATGTAGTTTATTGTCTTACCCTGGACAAGGATGTAGTTTATTATCTCACCCAGGAGGCGAAGGTAGTTTATTGTCTTACCCTGGACCCAAGGCGAATGTAGTTTATTGTCTTACCCTGGACAAGGATGTAGTTTATTATCTCACCCAGGAGGCGAAGGTAGTTTATTGTCTTACCCTGGACAAGGATGTAGTTTATTATCTCACCCAAGAGGCGAATGTAGTTTATTGTCTTACCCTGGACAAGGATGTAGTTTATTATCTCACCCAAGAGGCGAATGTAGTTTATTGTCTTACCCTGGACAAGGATGGTTTATTATCTCACCCAGGAGGCGAAGGTAGTTTATTGTTTACCCTGGACAAGGATGTAGTTTATTATCTCACCCAGGAGGCGAAGGTAGTTTATTGTCTTACCCTGGACAAGGATGTGGTTTATTATCTCACCCAAGAGGCGAATGTAGTTTATTGTCTTACCCTGGACAAGGATGTAGTTTATTATCTCACCCAGGAGGCGAAGGTAGTTTATTGTCTTACCCTGGACAAGGATGTAGTTTATTATCTCACCCAGGAGGCGAAGGTAGTTTATTGTCTTACCCTGGACAAGGATGTAGTTTATTATCTCACCCAAGAGGCGAATGTAGTTTATTGTCTTACCCTGGACAAGGATGTAGTTTATTATCTCACCCAGGAGGCGAAGGTAGTTTATTGTCTTACCCTGGACAAGGATGTAGTTTTATTATCTCACCCAAGAGGGAATGTAGTTTATTGTCTTACCCTGGACAAGGATGTAGTTTATTATCTCACCCAGGAGGCGAAGGTAGTTTATTGTCTTACCCTGGACAAGGATGTGGTTTACGTCTCACCCAAGAGGCGAATGTAGTTTATTGTCTTACCCTGGACGCGGATGAAATTTATCCTCTCACCCAGGAGGCGAATGTAGTTTATTGTCCTTATCTTGCACAAGGATGTAGTTTACGTCTCACCCAGGAGGCGAATGTAGTTTATTGTCTTACCCTGGACAAGGATGTAGTTTATTATCTCACCCAAGAGGCGAATGTAGTTTATTGTCTTACCCTGGACAAGGATGTAGTTTATTATCTCACCCAAGAGGCGAATGTAGTTTATTGTCTTACCCTGGACAAGGATGTAGTTTATTATCTCACCCAGGAGGCGAATGTAGTTTATTGTCTTACCCTGGACAAGGATGTTTATTATCTCATCGTCGTTTATTGTCTTACCCTGGACAAGGATGTAGTTTATTATCTCAACAAGAGGCGAATGGGGACAAGGATGTAGTTATACAGGCGAATGTAGTTTTATTGTCTTACCCTGGGGATAGGAGGCGAATAGTTTATTGTCTTACCCTGGACAAAAAATCTCAGCGAATGTAGTTTATTGTCTTACCCTGGACGCGGATTTATCCTCTCTCACCCAGGAGGCGAAGTTTATTGTCCTTATCTCAAGGATGTAGTTTACGTCTCACCCAGGAGGCGAATGTAGTTTATTGTCTTACCCTGGACAAGGATGTAGTTTATTATCTCACCCAAGAGGCGAATGTAGTTTATTGTCTTTACCCTGGACAAGGATGTAGTTTATCGTCTCACCCAGGAAGCGAATGTAGTTTATTGTCTTTACCCTGGACAAGGATGTAGTTTATCGTCTCACCCAGGAGGCGAATGTAGTTTATTGTCCTTACCCTGGACGCGGATGTAATTTATCGTCGTACCCAGGATATGGGGACATAGTTATACATAGTTGGGATAAGAATAATCTGCCAAAAAATCAGCATTCTTTACCAAGGCACTTCTCAGAAGAAGGACTCAAGTTAAACGTTAACCTAAACAGAAACTACAATGTGGAACTGGAAAGAAATCGGTAATGGTACCTACCCTTTATTCATCATAAAAATTCGGGATTTTGAATAAATACATATTAAACATTTCAAATACCTCGATGTGTGGATCAGTTATAAGAAAATCAGTTTAGTAGATTAGGAAATGCTAGAGATACTTTCGTAAAAGACTGCAAGTTGCAACAAAACCAAAATATTGATTTAAGAAATTGAATCATATACGTAAATAGCTTTCATTTGAATGGCATTTATGGCGCCAAAGACGTTCAGAAATCAAACATTCAACTGTATTCAACCGCTTTTTAAGATCAGTGAAGAGAAATTGTTTGCAGCGAATAAAGCCTGAAGGTTTAGCGAGGACCAACGTTCTTTAAACCTCGTGGACTTGCGCTAGAAAATGAGACATAACTGTACCAAATAACAGAAACCCCATCAGTTGAAATCTTTCAACAACTAAAATGGAATAGCACATGTAACTCGGAGAGAATATGTCAGAATCAAGATGTTGAAGCTCAACAGTATTTCGAGCACAAGTTCAGGAAATAAGCTTTAATATATTTAATTACAACGCTTCGGCCATTGTACGCTCCGGCCTTCTTCAGGTGGTTGGAATGTCGAACTGAACCGTTTATTTCTCTCACTGGGGTAGACTGTTCTAGTTCCACGTGTCATGTTTTAATGGATGTCAGTTATCATTTATCTCGTGTTAATTCCCCTCTCCAAGTTCGCCACTGTCTTAACCGGGTATTGAACTCACACTCTTTGGGTATTGTCACTGGATCTAAGTGAGCGATATAAAGGGTTCAGTTCGACATTCCAACCAATTGTAGAAGGCCGGAGCGTACAAAGGCCAAAACGTTGTGATAAATATGGCGACAAAGATGAGGACAATAGTCGTAATAATGTAATTAATGTACATAATATCTCATTTCAGAAATATAGACAGATACTGAGTCTGTTCATATCTTCCGTCTGTCTGTCTGTCTGTCTGTCTATCTATCTATCTATCTATCTATCTATCTTGTCTGTCTTCTCCTCGTGTGAAATGAGAGCTGACTCGGCTGCCGTGGATATCAAAACGCAATCTGATACAGCCGTACAGTGTTTCTTGTTTGCTGCG